TAGGATAAATGGAAAGAATATAAATATGCTCAAATACTTGTGAAATATATGTTTATGGAGCATTAACATCAAATAAAAATATAAGGATGACTATCATATTAGTGTAGCCAAAGTTTTTAGACAAGTCAAAGCAAAGCTGAATTCTCAAACACAACTGCATTATCAGAATGGTTAGTTTATGCACTGAACACAGTAAGCTGAGGAAGATTCTGCTTTCTGTTCCATTCACAGTCGTCACAAAGAGAGAGACATGTGGGTAGAGGAGAGCTGAGGATGAAATCTGGATCTTATTGCAAGTGCAGAAGGAAACCCTAAGAGCATCTGAAGCACGAAAGTGTTATGATCTAATTCCTACTGTTAAATGACTGATGTGAGGAGAATTGACATGGGATGTGCTGGGGTAAAACTGGTACCAAGGGCAGCTGAGGATGTGAATGTCCTTCAGGAGACAGCATCATGGCCTGAACTATCACCTTCAGTAAAGATTATGCAAATGATTGTATTTTGAATGCATGTGGAAACTGGAGGCAACTCGATTTGCTAATGGTCAGTGGGTGAAGGAAGTGAGGGTTTTTGAACCACTGAAACTGTGACTTAGAAAAGGTTGGGAGCTGTTATGAGAGCTGAACTGTTTTCTAAAATTCCGTATGTTGAACACTGGTACTTCAGAACCTAAGAAGATGAACATCCATAGTAGAAGGCAAGTGGAGTGCCGAGGGCTGCCACTCACCTCTAGGTGCCAAGTTCCTGCTGCAGTCCTGCTTCTCCCTTCCACCCACCCTCCCTCACAGACCCTGTCCTTTCAGTTCTTCCATCACTGCTGTTTTTGTTGTGTCTGGTGAGTGCATAGCTCATATTTATGCTTTCCTAAAACACGTTACTCATTTCTGACATTGGAGAAGGTCAGAAAAAGGGCCTGAGGTGAGAGACCTTTAGGGGCATTACCTGTTCTCTTCCTGTACTCTCCTCCAATGCCAAGTCTGTCTTGCATCAGGCCTGCAGCAACCTCAGTGGCCACATAATCAGGCAATGTTGGCCTGATCTGTTTGCTGCTCCTTGTCTCTGACATTCCTTTGTTACCTGATGATCTAACTTAAGCCACCTAGGCAGGATTGCTCATCTCCATTTCCTATGGAAAAAAGTGTCTGGTGAGACCAGAGACACAAATCTCGATAATGCAGTGGGACCTGCTGGCCCAAGCAACTACTCTCTGCCTAAGACAAAACTCATGAAGCCCAGTTAGAACCAATTTACTTCCTACTGAGCCAGAGAAGAATTGCCAATTAATAATGTATTTCCCCTTCGAGTATGCCTATATTTATGCCATGAAAAATAGCAATCTTCCTGGTTCCCTTGCAAGGGCAAAGTTGTGTAAGCAAAATGTTTTGTATTAGGAAGTCTTCCTGTACTATTACCTGTAACCCTTCTGAAGGGCCAGACCAGACCCTCATCTGCACAGCCCGGGATCTACTCATCCACAGTGGTCATGAGGTCTGTCTTTATGATTTACTGTCACACATCCTCTCTACCCTCATCATACCTCCAACCAAGCTGTCCTCAAATCTAAACTAGATGTACACAAAATGTGAACAAGTACACAAGGCACACTGAAGGTCTAAATGGTAAATGGCTGTTGTTGATATTGACTAACCTGTATATTCCATGAACTGGTGAGCAGGGATTTACTAGGTATAACAGAACAATCAGCAGCTGAAACAAGAGCTACCAATGCAGGACTCTGATAGGGCTTTTGGAAACACAGCGTTCATTGTGAAATTACACAGACAAGAATGAAACAAAGATGGTGACGAGTACTAGAGCCCATTAGATAGAAGATTAAATAAAGGAAATATCGCCAAATTCATGGAGGAAAAGCCAGATATGTGAATTAAAATACACACAGTGAGCTTGACTCATAAAATATGAACCACGAAGTACCAGAAAGAATGTAGGGAGGAATGCATATGGGAATATTGTAGAAAAAATACTGTTTGTGGAAGAACAATCTGAGAAAACAGGTGACACAAATGGTGACTAAACCAAGAAAACCTATACAATGCAATTGAGCGTTTATTGGGGGTATCTGATTACCTTACTTGAATGTAGAATTGTGGCCACTTAATTATCAGTGGTGTAAATAAGAAATAAAGCAGAGGATAAATTTTATAGAATATTCTAGAGAAAGAGAAGAGAGTGAAGGAAGTGTTGGTGATGTGACATCGTGTGGCTCCCTCAAGGAACAGTGTGTTCCGTTTTCTAAGGTCTCGGAATTTCCTGGTGGTTTTTGTGTCCATTATGCTTTAATAATCCCTGTAGGTGCTTTAAAATACACAAATTTGGCCTTTTTATGTTGCACAACACCAACCCTTGCCTGAGCTGTGTGAGATCCACAGAAGCTTGGACAATCCCTATGTGCTGAGCAGGCTGTGGGGCAGCTTTCTGTCATCTTTGTGTACACAGAGGTGTGCTGTCCTCACACACCTCACAGATAGCAGAAACCATCACTATCGCATCAAAAATGTAGCTAAATGTGAAATTATCTTTACACACACATCACAAGAGACGGAAATAGGCTATAAAACAGCCAGATACATTGACCATCTTCACTGCTGGCTTTGAGGAGCTTTGCTGCTCATACACACATACACACCAATAAACAGCACAGTGAAAAGCAGATAATAGTCTTATCAAAAAGACGGAAGCTCTAATGGTGTTTGAAGTTTAATTACATCACAGTGCTGATTGCTTGGACACAGTTCCTTTAAAAGCTTTGTTCAATTCATAGTTGTACCTTTTAGAAATAAGGTACAAACAACATCCACCCCAAACATCCGTCTGGGCTGCAGGCCCAAAGGCAAATAAGGGACACGTCTGATCTGCAATCAACAAAGCAGAACCCAATCTCTGAGGTGGTGAGGCCCACCCAGTGTGGAGCTCAAAGGTACCATTGTTCTGCTCCTCTTTATAAAGGGAGCTGCCACGTTGCTCCTAGCACAGAGTTGAGGACAACTCCAGGCCCTCCTGCAAGATGCTGCTGATTCTGCTGTCAGTGGCCCTGCTGGCCCTGAGCTCAGCTCAGAGCTTAAGTGAAGGTAAAACAGAGGGGGGAGCAGATGCGGTAACTCTGGTTGGGGCTTAGGAGGTAACAGTGGTAATTAGTGGGAAGAGAGGAGAATGAAAACACAGAAGGGGCTGCAGAGTTTTCATGCCTAGGATCAGGAGACCTGTTGTGTCATCATTCCACACCAAGGGCTTCTAATTTATTTAATATACAATGAAAATGCAATAAAGAATGTGCACCAGGAGAATGAGAAGGTAAGATTTGCATTTATAGAGAGATATGACTGTGCTGTGAAGGATGCAGTGGAGAATGCAAGACAGAGGGAAGTCCAGCTGTGAAGATCCTGTCATCATCTCAGTAAGTAGACGGGGATGATGGTGGCCTTGCTGATGGTGGATCAGCATCGGTGATGAAGATAAACAGGCATCGGAGAAACTGCGGAGACAGAGAATTGGATAAAACACCTGTCTCTGTCTCCCTAGAGATATAGAAATACCAGAGCCAACCTGCATGCAGTATTTCAATGTGCTGGGAGTGGTATGGGTAAGACTGTATTGAAATGATTGCTTCTGATTACTCCTATTGAGAAAGCATATGAACATAAGCAACATATTTACAGGAGAATTAGGGCATAACAATACCAAAATGTCATACTGAAGTACCAGGCATGTGTAAACTACATCTGTATTAAGTCTTGAGGGATCCTAGGGAGGAAGAAAAGGGGCGCTTCTGTGTCGAGTTCATGGCTGTTGCTCTGTGGAGTAACAACCCTGCCTCCCCTTACACCTTCCTCCCCTTCCAGCAGCTTCACAGACGGTGGCTGACGAGTTAACGTAGGGGATGCATGGGGTGTGGTCAGAAGTCCCTTTTCCCTCTAGAACACTTGTGAGTCATGAAACATTCCAGATGTAACTTTTCCCATGACTTTGTGCTTCTCTTCTAGATGTCAGCCAGGAACAACCTCCCTCCATAATACCAGGTAAATCCCAGTTCACTCTCAATCTGTTTGACTCTCTTTTTCTGCTTACGAATTGATCAATTCCCCAGTGTCTTCTTATCAAGACTTTCCTTTCAGGAACTGATTAATGTCAGTGCTCCAATGATACAGGCCATCTCCATGCAGCCTTGACTCTGGGCCCATGAGCAGGGCAACCAAATTGAATGGCAGAGATGCTTGGCTTAGATGACAACATCTAAGGAGTGGGTTGACCTTCCCCCAGGCCGGGAATGCCTGATGGGAGATGACAGACAAATGGGCAGGGTCCTCATTCTGACTCCTCCGTATACTGACAGCCCCTCAACTGCTTCCTTCTCCCCCAGCATTCCACTGCAGAGTTCCATGGCTTCGCTGAAAATGCAAAGAAATTAGTGTCTGGATCTCGTTTTCGTGCATTTCCCCACTCAGTTGTGTTGCCGCAGCTGATAAAAGTTTGCCGAACTATTCGGTGAATCCTGTGTGGGCTTTCATTCTCTCTCTTCTCTCTGTATTTGTTTACTTGGGTCTTGGAGCCAGTTGCCCAGGCATGGAGTTCAGTCAGCAAGTTATTGAGGCAGCTGGGATCATAACTGGCTGCTTGACTGATGTTACTCGTCCTTTTATTTTTTTTCCCCCATCTCGGGATTCTAACATATCAAAAAGGTTTTTGTAAATTTTTATTTTTTGGCTAACTTCTAATAGACATACTTGTCCTAGGCACAAAGAAATGAGACTTTTCATGACCCAGATGTGGATAAAAGGAACTCTGCCTATGAAAGCCCTGAGTAAAAGGGATGCTAGTAGTTGACAGGCACGTTCTGGGAGACAGGGACAGTGTGCTAAGGATAGAGAGATATAAAGGGAGGAGGTTCTTCTATCGCTGAACTTGGCTCTTCTGGTGTCACTTCACACAGATGACGGAGACTCAAACCAGAGCTCAGAGGAGAAGCCTCAGAGACCGCCTTTTGGAGGACACCCACCTAAGCCGCCTGCTGGTAATGGAAGCCAGGAAGATGGGCCTCAGCATCGACCACCCCCGCAAGAAGGCAACAAGCCCCAAGGTCCCCCACCTCCTCCAGGAAAGCCACAAGGACCACCCCCACCAGGAGGCCATCCCCAGAAGCCTCCCCCACCTCCTGCTGGAAAGCCGGAGGGACCACCTCCACCTCATCCAGGAAAGCCACAAGGACCACCCCCACCAGGAGGTCACCCCCATAAGCCTCACCCCCCTCATGGTGGAAAGCCCGAGGGATCACCTCCACCTCCTCAAGAGAGCAAACCACCCAAACCTACACAGGAACAGCCTTCTCAGTAATCTAGGCTTCAATGACAGGTATGATTCCAGTCTATTCTTCACCAAGGGCTCTAAGTGCTGCAGTTATCCAGCTGTATTGTGTCAATGAATCAATTAAAAGCCCGTTGACATTGTATTGTCCTAGAACCCATTTCTAAAGACTTGTATTCAGATATTCTGGAATAAGGTAACAAGACCTTGTATTCTAACAAATCCTTTGAGGAATTCTGATGTTGAGAAACAGCATTCCATATAATACGTTTTAAATTGTGTTGGCAACAAGGAATTAGTACCATGTTCTCTCTTTCTCGTGCTCTGTTTTTGGTGCACGAACTCAGAGACCTCCCCTCTAAAGTTTTCACCTGAGCACTCTTCACTGAGTCCTACCTCCACCTCTTCAGTCCAGTATTCCTGCCAAATGGTCCTTGAAGTTTCAGCAGCTAAGTGGTGTCTCATTTTTTACATACGTACTTTTCATTAAGTACATGATTAAGCTAACAAAAAATACCTAGTGGAATGGAAAAATACGAAGCTAAATTGAATCCAAACTCATCCTACCTGCCTTTCTTCCTTCAGAAGACCACCACTGTTAACTGTATGAGATCTCCTCTTTGAAATATTTATGTGTACATAGATATATAGAATTCTTTTCCCCCAGAGCAAATACCATAATTTATATGCAGGTATGTATGTTAGTCATTTAAAAATACATTTCTTTGAAAATGTCCACATGAGTTTATGAAGCTAAGTAGATCTCTTCAGTGGTTTTCTGTTTGTTTCTACGTTTTTATGCTACTCCATTGTCTGGCCGTACCATGACTTCTTTAACCACTTCCCATCACTCTACCCTGAGGGTGGTTTCATCTTCTCACTATTATAGAACATGTCCCAATTAGCATCTGTGTAAATATACCCCCTGAAGAAATTCAACAGCAAAGAGTCACAACAAGCTAAGAATGATCTTTTCTCTTCATCTTCTAAGCAACAATTTGGAACACATTGTGCGCCAGGGCATCAAAAGAGTGAACACAGAGAAAATTAGGAAGGAAACACCGGAGGGAGAAGAAATGGGGGAGGGAGGGTGGGCTCTCATGTACCCTACTGCAGTAACTCCAGGGAGGAATTGGGCATTTCCTGCCATGTCATGTCTGCTCTATGAACTTCCTTGTTTGTTTGTTTCAGGAAGTAAATAAGAAGATGACAGCGATTCAAGTGATTCAAATGCCATAACATTGGAATAAGGCGGCCATATCTCTCACTTCAATATACCAATAAAACCGTCAGCTTGCAATTTCTGATTGTGGTGTCTCTTTGTCAATGTTTGTGAATGTGGAATCTGAGGACCAGGAACACATTATAAGTACATCTAGGACCCGTTTCCCTAGATCTTCCAGATAGCTTCCCTCCTCCTTAATCCCAAGTCAGCCAGCTGCCATGACATTTTTTTAAAAAAAGCTTTTACTGTTTCTCTCCTTCCGTGATTTGTATTTTTTGTTTGTTTGTTTGTTTTGTCTTTTTTCCGAGATGGAGTCTTGCTCTATCACCCAAGCTGGAGTGCAGTGACACGATCTCAGATCACTGCCACCTGCATCTCCTGAGTTCCTGCTATTCTCCTGCCTCAGCCTTCCAAGTATCTAGGATTACAGGTGCCCACCCTCATGCCTAGCTAATTTTTGTATTTTTAGTAGAACAAGGTTTTCACCATGTTGGCCAGACTGGTCTCCAACTCCTGACCTTAGGTGATCCGCCTTCCTCAGCCTCCATTAACTACTGAGATTATAGGCGTGAGCCACCAACGCCTGGCACTTTCCTGACTTCTATAGCACAAATTGAAATTTAAAAATTATTTTCAGATTGTTTACTGATATTCCAGTAATCTTAAAGACAAAAAAACAAAACAAATGCAAAAAAAGAAGTCACAGAAGCTAAAAGAAGTTCTTTTAGTTTCTAAGAAACTGAGTTTGGTTTCAAAGGAATGATGAATACAGTTCTATGTTTCTTTATCAGCAGAAGCTGCTCTATCCCACTTGCTCTATTTTAACAGTGATCACGTCTCTCCCTCCTTATATTTCTCACCATGCTTTAATGAAACCAGAATGGATTTTATCAAGAAGGCAGCATGATTTTAAGGAGCAAAGCGTTTGAACACTCTCAGATTTTAATTAAGACCTGTTTTTCTTGCTGTCTCTGGACCCTTAAAAAGCTACTTCGACTCTCAGAGCTTCACTTTCCTCATCTAAAATGAGAATAATCATAACAACTACCTTAGAGAATGAAGACTAATGAGATAACATACATACCAAAAACCTTGCAGAGACTGGCACATCTGCTTCTCAAGCAAGGAAGGTTCAGTATTAGAAAACTGCCCCTGTGCCGACTGACAGCCTCAGAGAATTCACTAAGATGTTCAGAAAAATCATAACAGAATGATCTCACCATAACCACCACCAAATTGACCAACCCAGACTGAGCTGAAGCCCTGGTCTCTGGCTTCTCTCCTATTATTGTAGGTGGAGCTTCTCTACCCCTATCTCTTACCTTCCCACTTGATTCTGAACCCAGATTGCCCAATTAAGGATTTTTGCCTCTGCATGTGACCCTTTTGTCTCCTGATTCTTAAATATATGCCCTATGGGATTACTTCAAACAGCAAAAACCTGCTGAAACATCACCCATTTCTACAGAGGTCTTGAGATTCTCAGTGCTTCTTCCCTACAGTATTACTTGTCTGCCATTTTTATTGCAAAAGCTCTTGTTCCATATGTCTGTGATTATTTTCCCATCTCCTCACCTGCAATTTTTTCTTACACACATTAAAGCTGCTTTTGTTCTTTCCACTCCAAGTCTGTCAAGGTCATCTAGTGCCTCCATTCCACTCGTTTTAGGAATCAGTTCTCAGTCCTGCGTCTCCTGTGACCCCTCAGCAGTTTAACACCATTGATCCTACCCTTGTTTTGGGAGCAGTCTATCAATCTTTCCAGGAACCTCCCACTCTCTCCTGGGGTTTCTACCACCACCGCCTCTTCCCTCCTTCAACTACAGAGTTCTTCCTCTTCAACTCTATTTGGTCTTGGTAAATAATTCACCTAATTAACTAAGCAAACTAGGATTTATTCTTGCCTCTTCTCTTTTCCTATTGCATCACATTACATCTAGTCAAATTAGCTGTGTGATCATCGTGAGGCTCAGACCTCAGAGTCATCTCCTCCTGCAGCCAGTTTCATCACTTCCATCTCTATCAGCCCATCTCGGCAAGCCTCAGCTGCAGCTTACACCAAATAGCACTTCTGTTTATTCCCCAAAAGTCAGTTCCCCACAGTAACTATTTAAAAATTATAACACTTTTCTATGTTTTCCAGCTGATTGCCACCACTTTTACTCTCTAAGATCAAGATGCCAATTTTTAACTATGCTGAAGTCCTATGTATTGAGCTGTAATTGTCTCTGGAATTGGGGGCTGCTCTACACTTAATTCATTCTGCTATGGACACACTGGTGGTGGTTTTCTTTTTATTGTTGGGATCGGGGAGCCGTATGCTAGATTCTCCGTCAATTTTTGAAAAATTTCATTTGCACAAATGTATATATTACAAGTTCTATTTTGTTACTTAGATTACATAGTGCTTCAGTCATTACATTACAGTATTCATTATTCAAATAACAAGTACTGTATTTACTAATTAATACCCCAATCACTGTATTTATTAATTAATATCCCACTATTGAAGCCCTCTGCCTCCTACACTTCCATATCATTACTGTGTATGATATCACTCTCTTCATCCATGTAAACACATTCCTTAGCAACCACTTACGAGTGAGAACGTGTAATATATGGTTTTCTGTATCTAGCCTGTTTTTCTTAAGAAAATGACCCCTAGTTCCATCCATATGGCCACAAAATATGTAATTTCATTCTCTCTTTATGACTGAGTAGTATGTCATTGTGCATATATAAAATCACATTTTTAATCCAATCGTTCATTCATGGATACTTTGGTTGATTCAGTGTCTTTGTGACTGTGAATGTTGCTACAATAAACATACAGATCAAGGGATGTATCTGATACACTGACTACTTTTCCTTTGGGAAGATAACCCAGGAGTAGGACTGCTCCATGGAAATGTAGTTCTAGTTTTAGTTCCTTGAGGAGCCACACTGCTTTCCATAGAAGCTGTACTAATTTACATTCCCACCAAGGGTGTATAAGAGTTCTCCTTTCTCCATGTCCTTGCCAACAGCTCTTTATATTTCACCCCTTTAATCAGTCATTTTGACTGAGGTAAGATGATATCTCATTGTGGTTTTGTTTCCATATACATATATATTTGGAAACAAAAATTAGAAAACTACCCCTGCGCCCACTGATAGTCTCAAAGAACTTATATATATATATATAGTGTGTCTATATATATAAAGTATACATACTTTACACACACACACACACACACACACACACGCACACACAGTATATACATACTTTAACTTATGGGATACAGGTGCAAAACGTGCAGGTTTTTTACACAGATATACATGTGCCATGGTGGTTTGCTGCACTCATCAACCCATCATATAGCTTTTAAGCCCTGCATGTATTAGGTATTTCTCCTAATGCTATCCCTCACCTTGCCCTCCACCCCCTGACATGCCTAGGTGTGTGATGTTCCCCTCCCTGTGTCCATGCGTTTTCATTGTTCAACTCACACTTATGAGTGAGAAAATGTGGTGTTTGGTTTTCCATTCCCATGCTAGTTTGCTGAGAATGATGTTTTCCAGCTTCATCCATGTCCCCACAAAGGACATGAAATCATTCTTTTTTTATGACTGCATATTATTCCATGGTGTATATGTGCCGTATTTTCTTTATCCAGTCTATCATTTACAGGTATTTGGGTTGGTTCCAGGATTTTGCTATTGTAAATAGTGCTGCAGTGAACATACATGTGCATGTGTCTTTATAGTAGAATGATCTATAATCCTTTGGGTATAGACCCTGTAATGTGATTGCTGTGTCAAATGGTATTTCTATTTCTAGGTCCTTGAGGAATTGCCACACTGTCTTCCACAATGGCTGAACTAATGTACACTCTCACCAACAGTGTAAAAGCATTTCTATTTCTCCACATCCTCTCCAGCATCTGCTTTTTTTGAACTTCTTTTTTTTTGAGACAGAGTCTCACTCTGTTGTCCAGGCTGGAGTGCAGTGGCCCAGTCTTGGCTCACTGCAACCTCTGCCTCCCAGGTTCAAGTGATTCTCCTGCCTCAGCCTCCTGAGTAACTGGGATTACAGGCATGCGCCACTATGCCCAGCTCGATTTGCATTTTTAGTAGAGATGGGGTTTCACCATGTTGATCAGGTTGGTCTCAAACTCCTGACCTCCGGTGATCTGCCCATCTCAGCTTCCCAAGTGCTGGAATTACAGACATGAGCCACTGCGCCTGGCCTGTTTCCTGACTTTTTAATGATGACCATTCTAACTGGCATGAAATGGTATCTCATTGTAGTTTTGATTTGCATTTCTCTAATTATCAGCGATGAGGTTTTTTTAAAAATAAAAATGTCTTCTTTGAGATGTGTTTGTTCATATCCTCACCCACTTTTTGATGGGATTTTTTTTTTTTTTTTGCAGATTTTTTTATGTTCCTCGTGGATTCTGGATATTAGCCCTTTGTCAGATGGGTAGATTGCAAAAATTTTCTTCCATTCTGTAGGTTGCCTGTTCACTCTAATGAGAGTTGTTTTGTTTGTTTGTTTGTTTGGTTTTTGTTTTTTGTCTTTTTGCTCTGCAGAAGCTCTTTAGTTTAATTAGATCCCATTTGTCAAATCGGCTTTGTTGCAATTGCTTTTGGTGTTTTAGTTATGAAGTCTTTGCCATGCCTAAGTCCTGAATGGTATTGCCTACATTTTCTTCTAGGGTTTTTATGGTTTTAGAGCTCACATTTAAGTTTTTAATCCACCTTTAGTTAATTTTTGTATAAGGTATAGGGAAGGGGTCCAGTTTCCATTTTCTGCATATAGCTAGCCAGTTTTCCCAACATCATTTACTAAATAGGGAATCCTTTCCCTATTGCTTGTTTTCATCAGGTTTGCCAAAGATCAGATGGTCGTAGATGTGTGGTGTTATTTCTGAGACCTTTGTTCTGTTCCATAGGTCTATATATCTGTTTTGATACCAGTACCATGCTGTTCTCGTTACTGTAGGCTTTTAGTATAGTTTGAAGTCAGGTAATGTGAAGCTTCCAGCTTTGTTCTT